CGTTGTTGGAGGGGGCTGATAAGATCTCGGGCTGAGAGCTGAGAGTTGTGAGCAAAAGGATAGGAAACAGGAAGAGGTTCATCAGTCCCCTACTAGCTAGATCTAGCCCACCGCAGTGGTTGCGGCACCGCCAGTGGTTGCGGGCACAGAACAGAAGATCCAATAGAATCCTGTTTCTGTCATGCACAGAACCGTTGTGGTACTGTACTGCAAGGTTTTTGCGGTTTTGGTGTGCGTGTTTGTCTAGTGGGTGTAGATAGTGAATTATGAGGCAGAGAAAGGTTTTCTGAAGAGGGTGACATCTCTTGAGGCTCGAGTGTGGAGGGACAGTAGTCAAGGACCAATCAAGGTGACACTGGTGTTCCAGAAAACGCTGTTCCAACAAGCAAGACATCGCAATTATTGTTTTCATCATTTCGGTAGCCAAAGCCATGCAAACCATAGCTAACACTTTAAATAATGCGACGAGCAAACATGAGCCATCGAGCCGTGCCAACGTGCCAACCCAGTCTTTTTTAAAAGGGCACCAAATAATGGGCTCAACAGAAGTGTTCTCAAAGATTTATTGTCTTGTCAAACCTTGGCTCAGCCGTACTCTTTTAAAATACCCCGCAGAGAACACTGACGACAGACAGTATCTTTGGGAGATGGAGAAATAATGTGCCATCCAGTGCCATCCCATGTCAGAAAACCACGCTCAAAACAAGGTAAAGCATGGCCCCTACTGTACCACAGCATTTCTTTTTAAAAAAGTGAAAACATTGGTAAAACAGGAGCCGTGATGAAAAGTGGAAGGTACTTTAAAATTGGTTTACCGCAGCTACCTGAAGTCCACAGAGTTCTTCCACAGGCCGTACCGTACAGTATCGGTACTGAAAACGTACTAGTACTGCTTCCAAGGATTTTTAAATTTGGTTTGCAGCTCGGCTTTGGCAGCTGCTGTGGCGCTGTGGCTGGGACAGGTCCTGAAAAGCTGTCCTGTGCAAGAATAACACTCAAACATTAACTCTACTAGCAAGCTAGGATCCAACGAGGTTTTGGGATTAGTTAGGTTTGGTTGGAATAATGTTGGTTTCATTTGTTTCCATTCATCGTCGGCTATTTTAAAATAGCCAGGCCAAGCAAACCTTGCTCCAGTACGGTACGTTTTGTGCTACAATTAAATAGCAGGAGAAGAAGAAAGACGATGAATACCTACACTGTCGTTGGGACGGGTTACTTGGAGCTCGTAATACCTGGCCCGCCCCATGTAGACAACTGGTGTTGCTAGCTAGCTCTCGGCGCATCAGGCATAAATCCTTGGGAGCCAATCGGTCAGCGTAAATCCACGAGGCAAACTCGGTTGTAAAACGAAATGAATGTCTTTGCCCACAGTCAACAGCTGGTTGGGTGTCTCCTAATCTCTCCCTGCGAAAGAATGATCCAATGATTGATTGAATTCGTCAATCATTTTTTCTAACGCAACTAACTGCATACCGTACCGTTCCCGGCATTCTAGAAGAAAAACAGTGCACGCTGACAGCCACAAGAAACGTCCACTCTACAGTTTATTATAATACTTACAATTTACGAAAAGCTGCTATGGAGTTCCATGATGATAAACCTTTAATAAACAACCATTGCTGTTTCTGGTTGACTGATCAACGCCTCCATGTTGAGCATCAACAAGTCTTCCCATCGCCCGACATCAACAAACTCTTCCCATCTTCCGATATTGGACGCAGTGCTACTAAAATAGCTAGCAAGTCCCCAGAGGTTGAACAGAAATTCAGGGGGAAAATAGTAGCCAACACTCAAAATTCATCTCTACCGACCCGAGCCCACAACGAAAATTGCTGAATTGTTCTTTCCATAGCTCTGTACCGTCCTTGAAACCTGGTAGGCCAGTTCGTATTAGCGGACAAATAGACCATCTGCATCGTTGGAGTGTTTAGAAGGCATCACGCCAAGCATTCGAAGGCTCGCATTTTTGGAGAGCATGGTCGTCCGGACCTCGGCGGCCACTCTCTTCTCCTGTCTGACTCTTTTCGGAGACTTGCTGCTGCTGCTGTTGCGCTTGGGACTTGACGAGGTTCTCCGTGTCGGTGATCTACTAGGCTTCCTCGATGTATCCTTCTGCCTGGCCATCACCGCGAGACTCCCAGTCGATTTCGTCCTTCGAGCCGGCGTTACGATTTCCTTTGGCTTTGACGCCATACTCGTCGAAACCCTTGACATCTTATCCATTGTTCCGTCTTTGTCTTTGTCTTGTTGTGCTTTCCACTTCTAGCTTTCCACTTCTATGGGACGGGTGTTGCGGTCAGGTTCGAGCGGTGGTGACAATACTCCGTGCAAGGTCCGACGATGTCCGAGGTCCGGCACAGCTTCCCTGTCTTCGTGTCGGAAAGGGAGAATCGAATCAGTGGAGACGTGGAGACCGCTAACCACTGTAAAAAGATGTTGCTTCGAAGCTGCGGTAATTATAAGAATGATTTAGATTTAAAATTTACCCAAATGTCTCATTAATAACACCCAGTGTGAGAAACTCGATTGAATCATTCTCATTCCAGTTCGCTTCTGACAGCAAGCTACTCCGCCGATTAAGTTGAGAATTCTCAAACCTACCAGCTTCTACACAAATCTGAAGATCAAGTTGAGAATTTTCCTTTCACCCTAACCCAAACCATCCAACTGATTAAAAATCCTGACTGCTCATTCTGAGGAGTTATCACCTTTTTCAAAATTCTCGACTTTATCGGCGGAGTAGCAAGAAAGAGGTTTTGAAGGCCTCTCCATTACAAAAAAGACCCACATAACCGCAAGCGGAAGCATCCCCGAACATGGCAAGTGGCAATGAGCGAACGAGGATCCAGTGGCGGGCACGCGGGTTTCCACTGTGCATGCATAGCAAGCACAAGCAGCTGCACCAACCCAACTTGGGTGTATGAGCTACTAGCTAGTACCGCAGTACTGTACCTCTACGCAAGCTTCAACTTGGGTGTATGAGGCTGGTACAGTACAGGTACCTCTAGCTAGCTAGTCTAGCTAGCTCTACTAGCAAGCCGCCAGCCTTCTACTAGCTGGTCATGCGGCTAGCCAGCAAGCCACCGCTATATTGACAGCTACAGTTATTGCATGAATAGCAAGGTTCTTTTCGGAAGAGTTGACCAAGATCGACCAACTTTACAGTTTCTATTTCTGGGGTCGGGGGCTTTATCTGGTTACGCCAGCCATTCCATTGTTCTACAGAGCTGTCAAGTCAAAGACTTGTGTAATGCCGGAATCCTCACCGTTGGCATCGCTGGAGGGAGAGCTGACGGCCAAGAATGATCCATCAGTAGACATTTGGATATCCGCTCCAAACCGATCTCCCACGGCAACTCCATTCAAGTCAGGGCCCACTTGGACCCATGAATCTGTTTCTCGATCGTAGTCAAAGAGACGTGTGACACCCTCTCCTGTTTGTTTCTCCGTTCCACCAATGGCAATACGGGTTCCGTCCCCCGAAAGGTAGAGGCTTTCGCCGAATCGCTCTCCGGCCTGGTTACCGAGAATGGTTTGTCCCAGTTGTTGCCATGCATCACTATCACTGCCAAGTTGATGACGATAGACTCTCACCATGCCAGCGTCCTCTCCATTGTCACTGTTGAGGCTGGCACTGCAAGCCAGAATGGATCCATCCGACGATAGGGCGATTTCTCGCCCCATGACATCTTGATCGTGATCACCAAAGATTGTTTGGCCCACCTGCATCCAATGCTCATCGTCGTCATCTTCGTGTTCTATCAAATCGAATACTTGGACGTAGCCAGTTCCATTGGGTTCTTTCTTGAATTGATTGGCCCCGGCAGCGACACGGTACCCATTGGCCGAAATGGCCAGTGATCTACCGAGACGATCCAATGTTCCAAGTCCATGAAGGGTTTGTCCTACTTGTTCCCACGACGAGGACGTGGTTGTTGCATTGCTGTCATTGGCCACATGTCGAAAGATGCGAACGTTTCCCGCGTTTTCATCGCCGTTTTCGTTGCTGCCTTGATAGGCACAGGCTGCCACGAACTGCCCATCATCCGACATGACCACGGATCGACCGAACCATTCGTCTGCGTGGATTCCTTCCATTGAAGGTCCGACTTGTTTCCATTGTGAATTGGGTGTACTACTGACGTAGTCAAACACACGAACATTGCCGACATGGGGCAAGATAGAAGTAATAGTAGTGCTGCCAGTATGCGTAGTTGTAGTGACATTTTGAAAGGGCGCTCCGACAGCCACGCGGAGTCCATCTTTGGACAAGGACAAACCACTAAAGCCAAAACGGTCTCCTGGGTTTTCCCCTCCAATGGCATTGCCCAGTTGTGCCCACACCGTATTGTTGTTGTTGGAGCTGCGAGCGCTCTGAAAGACTCGTACCAGTCCCGACTCAAAGCCGACATTCCCATTGTTGCGAGCTGCCACGGCCACAATCGAACCACTTCCCGACAATCCAATGGCTTCTCCAAAGCGATCGTATGCCGCCGATCCGATAATGGTGTTGCCCCATTGCACAATACCTGTAGTGGACGAATCTTGAGTAGTAGTATCATCATCGCTGGGGGTTGAATCTACACTTAGTTGGTCTTGTTCCTGTGGTTGAGTGGGTGGTGGTACGGTATTCTCGTCACCACGAGACAGTGTGGTTGCCATGATGATAACGAGGACAATCACAATGACAACCAACAAGCCTGTGGCAAGGTAAATCCATTTCTTCTTTTCAGGAGGAGGAGCCGCCACAGCCACTACGACATCCCGTGATTCCACAAGCTCTGCTTCGACCAAATTGGCTTCCAAATCGTCCGTAGTATGGTTGTCTTCTTCGCCATCGTCTTCTTGGCTCGAATCCAGACCATCGGCGGTGGGATCCATCGCCCGTGATGACGATACTGCGACTGCTCCCACCTGTGTTGCATTCAGCCTCGGTTCTTCTTGCTGTTGCTGTGTCGATAATGTCGTTGCAGTTACAGAAGAGGCACTGGTTGCTCTCAGTTCAGCCTCCTTTTCAACGGAGTCCTTTTTGACTACGTGTTGTTGTTGTTCCTCCACAGGAGAGTCTAGCTGTTCTTTCACCTTGCATTTGTGTTTGACAATCATTTCCAGCACCGTCTCCTCCTCTTCTTCCTTCTCCTGATCGTCGACATGGTCACAGGAAACACTCTCAGAAGTCACAACTTGCTGGTCTTCATGGCCCACGGCGTCCTCTTCGTGCTCTGGGGAGACTTGTTGCTTCTCCGTTGTCATCTTTCCCTGTTTTCTGTCTGCGTCTATCTCTGTCTTCTTGGTACACTTATTGTGGGCGGTGACCTCTTGCGTTTTTAGTTTGGATCTGTGGGGGCATTCGCTTCTTTTCGCATGTTCCGGTGGGGTTTGCTGTCATGGATAGAATGTTGCGTGCATGGGGTACTGTACGGTATTATTAGAGTGTATTTGCAATTGTATTCCCTCAACTACGTGGATTGGAGTTCACGTCACGTGACCGACGCGGTCATTTGTTTGGGTACCGGAAGGTACTGTACCGGTACTGCGGTGACGGTACCGGTAACAGGTAGGTGCTCTTCCAGATTATTAAGGATGTATCCTAGAGTCTGACCTTCGACGGGCCCATGGTGTCAAGTTCACTCGATAGAACACGGAGAAGAAAGAAAAAACTGTAATAGCCAAGGCAGTTATAGGATTGCCAACAGAACATGCTGTGCTTAGAGTTAGAAGGCCATGGGTGGACCGCTGGAAAGCCATTGGTCTGCTCTTGCCGTGCCGCCCTTGCCTGCCATGTTTTAGTGGGTTGTCGGAAGAAGTCAACACTGTTTACCATGGAGTGTCGAAATGAGATGTGTCAAAGTGGAGTGAGAGATGCTCAACAGGCACAGGATAACAAGTGGCAGAGTCACCAGCAATCGATAGAGCATACCCAACTTACCCTTGCGACATACTCGCATTGTCATTGGGGTAGCCTTGCTTGCCAAGATAATAGATCGACAGTCGCAGCGTCAGAAGATTGATTGTTGTTTCTGTTGGCCCCTTTCGGCATGGCCAATCTTGCTGCTTTCCCTTCTTTTCGGAGGATTTCATTGTCGGATGCTCATTCTTCGCCAATTTTGCTCATAGGAAATGGCAAAGACCAAGATGATGAATCTTTACTCTGATAGCTATGATGATGCTTCGCCTGATTTCTTGACTGACATGTTTCTGTACGGAGAGGACAAAGTTAAAACAAAGTTTATGCACCAGAATGGTTCCATTGATGTGTTGTGTGGCTATCACAACCGTCCTCGCTTCACCATTCTTACCTGTGAAACTCGCAGCTACCCAAAGAATCGAATGCACTTCACTGTGTTGGTGATGCAACTCATGGATGAATCCAACAGTAAGAAGAAGTACATCTACCAAGAATGCATGGTCAAGCAATACCCAATCGAAATGGTGGACAAAGAGCAGATCGTGGACACCTTCTCACATTTCTGCGAGCCACCGCACCAGCTTCATGGCTGCATGGAGTGGGAAGACGTTAAAGATAACACCCAATGCTGGTGTTTGTACAAGCATTACCACTCCAACTTTTTCAGGAACACGGAGGGTAACTGCAGTCCATTGCCATGGTGCATGGAAAAGTACATCAAGAAGTGTTGCTACCCTGCTGACGGCAAGTTCACTACTTTCTCAAGCGGGAGCCAACTCAAAGGACTCCCGCCACTGATTCTGTCAACCAAGATGATAATAAAGATAAACAACAACAACAACAAAGACACTATAAGCAACACCATCATTATAAAGCTAACTATTACACTATTACAAGCAAGTTTCCCCTTGGAAGCACTCAAATCGGAGCTCTGGATCGATAGATATCACGGAACGTCCTCAGCCACCCATCAGCCACCAACACGTGATTGCGGCACCGGAAGATCCAGTCATTCCACGTATACCCTGGTACTGTTTCTACAGAGGAGTCATTATCCAAAACGCCAATCACCCAACAACCAAATCACAAACAACAACAGGAAAATTCGAAGATATCGAATTGTCTTGTTTCGCCCATCGAGACGCTGTTTGCCACTACAAGAAATAGTCCCCGATCTAACACCTGTCCATAGGAATAGAATAGGAACTGCATCTGTCAGTCGCAACGAGCATCCTAGCAGGCATCCCAAGACGAACGAACGAATCGGAAGACAAGGAATTCATTCTGTTTGCTCAGAAGAAATCGAGCTGACAATCCTTTGCTCAGCCATAGCAAATTGCTTTCTGCTCAGTCCATTCTCGACAACAAGAACACCGTCCTAGTCCAATCCCACGATCTTTTAGACTGCTCCGAGCCGTACCTCCGTACCTCTATCGGCCGATCGATCGAACTGACTGACTGATTCCGATAGCATTCGATTCCCCACTTGCCAAGCAAGAACTCAGTATCTACACTACTCACCACACACAGTGAATCGGTAGAAACTATCTTCCTGCTACGCAACAAGGATATTCGGTGAACTCGAGTTGCAAGACCAAGAATTTGGCGCCATCCCTCATTGCAGAGTACCACTACGGGCAGGCAACAACATCTCATTCTTCCAACGACCGATCACGGCGATTACACAGGCACAATCGGCCGTTGACTTGCAGCCAACAGAATTTGAAGCTCTCCTCCATTGAAACTCTACCACAACCGGGCAAGCACCAACTTCTCGAGCAAACAACCCAAGAGCCAACACTGCGAGATAAATCCTTGCGCCGACTCCTAAGTCTCCGGTCACTCTATCCGATCGATCGAACGTACTGATTCCGATAGAAGCACCTCTCGATTTCCCGATTGCCGAGCAAGAACTCAGTATCTACACTACTCACCACACACAGTGAATCAGTAGAAACTATCTTCCAGCTACGCAACAAGGATATTCGACCGAACGCCGGCTTCCGATTTGCGCGAACGAGATTTTGAAGCTCTCCCTCATTTGAAATCAACCACAACTGGGCAAGCAACAACTTCTCGCAACAACAAGTCAACAGCCAACGCGAAAAAGTACACAGCCAACGAGAATCAGTACACTCAGTACAGAAATCCAAGCCATCCCTCATTGCGTACCATAGGATTTGGGCAGGCCCGCACGTCTCTACTTCGTTCGCGAATTCTCTCCGGCAAATCCACTCGAATCAACCTATCTCCTCAACCAGACGGAGTTAGAAGGATCCAAAGATAGCCACAACAAGCTCTCAACCAGCTCTATCCAACAGAACTACTGAGCACTAGCTAGCACTGACTGCAAGCCCTCCAGTCAACAGGAAGCTCAACGCGCAAGTCTCCTAAGTCTCCGGTCTGGCCGTTGCTTGCACCAACAGAATTTGAAGCTTCCCCCATTGAAACTCTACCACAACCGGGCAAGCACCAACTTCTCGAGCAAACAAACCAAGAGCCAACACCGCGAGATAAATCTTGCGCCGACTCCTAAGTCTCCGGTCACATAAATCTTTGTGCCGACCTAACTCTTCTACCCCTTAAGTCCACCAATACCCAGCCCCTTAAGTCTCCCATCCTTGAAATTAAGAAATCTAACTAGCACCGACTGCAAGCCCTCCAGCCAACAGGAAGCTCAACGCGCAAGTCTCCTAAGTCTCCAGTCTGGCCGTTGCCTTGCAGCCACCAGAATTTGAAGCTCTCCCCCATTGAAACTCTACCACAACCGGGCAAGCACCAACTTCTCGAGCAAACAAACCAAGCGCCGACACCGCGAGATAACTCTTTGCGCCGACTCCTCCCGGACCATACAATATGACCTCCAAACAGCAGTCGTCCCTGATGGACCACTTTGCACCCCCAAAAGGCGCTGACAAGGGACCAAACCAAGGAAAACAAAAGAAGGAGAAAAAGAAGGGACCCCAGCCAAACAACCAAGCGACCAAACCCAAACCAGCACACCCAGAGCAATCCAACGCAACATCCCCAGAGAAAACACCAAGGCGGCGCCGAAACAAAAGAAACAAGGACTCACCCAACCCAACGAAAAAATTACCAACATCCGACCCCACACCCAAGGCAATGAAAGCAGGGGGAGAGCCTATGCAACATGGTGCCCCCCAGAACGAAGGTGACGACATCATGGCAACACCCCCAGACCTAACGAGACATGCAGGAACCCACCAGACCACTGCCAAGCACAAGATTACGCCAGGAAACGAAGAAACACCTGGCACCGGACTGCCCACCAACAACTTCCTGCCACACAACCCAGAAACTGAAATCCAGTTCGAAAACATCCCCACGGATGACCAAACCACAGCCAGACCCACCCGCCGACCTGAAGCTACAGCAAGCTCATCCAGCTCCACAAGCTGCAGTACAAACCAACCAGGCGAACCGGCAGTCAATGTCGACCAAGACGAAACCACTGAAACAGATGACGACACACACCGGGAGACACCAAAGACTCCCAAGTCAGTCAGCATCTTTGAGGTAGACGGCGAGGATGACAGGACTGCCGCCCTGCCTAAGGCCGCCCAAGAAGATGCACAACTGACGGACTATCCCCAGAAGCAAGCAGGGAGCACAACCAGACCAGACAAGACAACTGATGACCCACCAGAGACTCTGCCAGAGAAACCCACACCAGAACCCGACAAGGACAAGCCACAAAAGAAGGCAGAGACGGCCAAACAAGACAATGATGAAGCGGCCACACAAGTCACACAGGAAATGATCCGGAGGAACCTGTGCATCATAGGCGACCCTACACCGACCACCAAAATATGGTACGGCACTGGATCACGACTGAACATCAACCTTCTCCAGCCCTTCAATACTTGCGACATTGCCAGAGGAGGAAGCGATAGAAATGTCTCGGCAGTACTACGATTGATGGAAGCCTCCGAATTTGGCAAAAAAGAGATGTGCATGATGGATACAAAGGGGACACCAGTGAAGGACGGACAGGGACGGACCAAGGTCACCCCAGCACACGAATGGAGCATGAGCATGTTACACGAAGTCATGACCAAGGCGTACACAGGGAAAACAGCCGATACATACCACTTCGAACACAAAATTGATAAAACACAGACAATGAAACTGGGACTCCGTCTAGCACTCACGGACCCATCAGCCTCCCCCCAATGGGACGCTGACAAGAAACGCTTTATCATCCATGGCCCACATTTGACACCGTTATCTGAGGAGTCATATCTCCCCACAGTAATGTGGGGTCGGTTCTGTTACAGTTGCCTTAAGAACAAGGCAGTGTGCTGCTGTGATAGCTCTGATCGTTCTTCCCGCCAAGCTTTCTGTCAGAGGAGATGGCTGCGTGGCTGGGCATCGTCACAGTGAAGTATGTCTTGTACTGGGTTTTGCCACGTGGGGGTTTGTCAAAGACTTCTGGGTCTTCCTTCTGGTCTGTCTCCTTGTGTCTTCGCTTTTGGTCTTTGGTTTGCCTTTCCGTTTGAGTGCCGTGGCAGCACCTGTTTTCTTGCCCGTGGCTGGTTCTTTGGGTTTCTTCTTGAGCCTGTAGGCAGAGCCCATGATCTCGTGCATGATGGTGATGAGTCTTCGGTGATGTTGGGGT